GTACAAAAGCATAAGGGCATGTTCTAGTTGTAATTCAAAAGTAATTCAGTGCACAGATAACTAATAGATATTCACCTACGTCTTCCAACTGTACTAATAAAAAAAAAAAAAAACCCTACAGAAAATCCTCCCAGGTTCTGTACAGAATTCCCTTAAGCTGCTGTGGTTTCCAATTTATAGTTCAAAACCACCTGCTTGCATTTCAAGGCAAGTCTCAAGGGCTGTATTCAAAGAATAGTATTTTTGAAGTGTGTAAAGGTTTCTTTTTATTAGGAGGCAACTTTCTCAAAGGTGCACTGAGGAAATTATTGTGGATCTGAAACATCCTCAAACCAGTGAGTGATCCAGTGTGAAAATTTTTTCTATAAGTATATTTTCAATGTAAACACCTTAATGAGATGTTGACCCATGAGTGTCCTTGACTCTTCCATACATTGTGTGCTTCACAAGGCAAGTTGTGTTTCTGACAGCAGATCTCTCTGATACATGATCTAAAAATCTGGTTCCTGAACTACCAGTATCCAGCAGGTGTTCTTGACATGGCTCCAGCATCTGGGAGTAGTGAACAGGGTTATTAATTGGTTTTGGTTCTCCTTCATGGCAAACCTTGGAATGAGTAATTTTTCCTCCATCCCAAAGTGATGTGCATGTCTTGTTCTGCAGCGCTACGCTATAGTTACTAAGGATGTGGGGCTGGGGTAGAGGAGCCATCGGAAGATGCTACTGAGGAATGTATTGGGCAATGTTACAGAAACTTGGCTTAAGTTTTTAATAGTTTTTTTTTTTCTGTCAGATAATCTTGCCACTTTTTATTCCCTATCTTTCTTTTCTCCATACTTACTGCATTTTCTGTAATTACAGTTTTTACCTGTTTTGTAAGATATAGGCCAAAGTACTCAGTTGGATTTTTATTTAGAAATTGAACCTTTTTGATCTGGAAGTGTCTTGGTTTTGGGAGTGAATAGCTGAGAAATATAAAATGCGGTTTTCTTAGAAATATTTGTTATAACTCAAGAAGAGCTGATGACAAGAATTAAAATTAGAGATTACTTGTTTACTTCTTTTGGGAAATAAAAGTCACACTCTACTGAGTGTGTATGAATATATTGTATTCTAGTGATGACGAAGATCTGAAAATAAGCAGAAAGTGTGAGGGAAGCCAGTACAAATAGTTTCTATCCCTCCTGCTTTAAGTGCCTTTTTTCCGTAAATCCACTTAAGTTAGGAAAACTGTTGGCATTACACTACTTATTTGATTCAATTTACATTCATAGCACAGATCTGATTGTAATTGTCAGTGTGTATTAGATAGAAGTAGAAACTGGACCAAAGACGAACATAAGACACAGGCATCATTGTCACAGCAGTTCTTAAAATTTGTTAGAAAGACTATCCATAGCAGGTTTTACTTTAATGGCTTTTTAGGCTGTTTTGAAGTTGAGGCTTTCTAAGCATTCTGGAGTTTTATTTGGATGCAATACTCCATAAGATCTCAAAAATAGCAAGTATATACTTTTTGTGTTATTTCTAATGATGAAGAGCCCATTGTTTCTGAAAGCAGAGTTTTCTTCTCTCAAGTCAGTATAGTCAATAGGGTAGTCAAGAATTGGCAGAGCAGTGGGGATAACACTGTCTTGTGCCTCAACAAATTTACAAGGGTTGGGGCAAGTGCAGTCATGTCAGATTTACTTGACTTGATGGCAGTTAATACTTGCTCTTTTTTAAGTTAATGGAAAAAACAGTGTGGTTTTTAAAACTACCTTCAGTCTCCACATAGTGTCAGTCAGTCAAAGAAGCTGATGTTTTTGGCAAAAAGAAAAAGCACCAAACCCAGGATGTACCTCTACATTTAAAAAAAAAAAAAAAAAATTGTTTCAAAAGCAATGCAAAACCCATGCCAGCTTAAAGCAAGCTGTATGCATTTAAAAGGTAACATCTGACATGCAAATACAGCAATGGCTGATCTGTATAAACCACCAAGGTAGTACGTGCATGGTAAGTAATACATACACCCTTCAGGGAAATATTGCATAAAACATGACAGGAAGCTTTGAAGCCCATGAAAGAAGGAGAAGATAAAGAAGGTGCTTAACTTTTGTAGCTGTGTTGGTTGCATTAAAAGCTCACGGCAAAGCATCGAGCAACAACATAAAACTGCCTAAACACACATATCCTCCAATCAAAAAGACCAGGCAAAGTTCAAGATGCGATATTTGCAATATATATGGAGTGCCAGATTAAATCATATTCCATCCAACTATTTCAGACGTTATACTTTTGTATTGCGCTTTTGGATAAAGATTCTTGCAGTGTGTAGACAGTAAAACCCTGGTGTGAAGAAGTCTAGTGGCAGAATCTGCATTAACCTCAGTGGAACCAGGATTTTAACTACAAAGTACTGGCAGCTTCTCTAATTCTGTATATACATTTTTCAGCTTTGAAAAGCCAGCATTTGCCACTAAAGGGATATGCAGTCCTTCACTTATTTAAGACATGTTATACAAGGATGTTGGCTGTCTCTGGTAGAAATGTTGGATTTTTTTCCAACTGCATGAACATGTTTCTAATGAGTCATAGCCCGAAAAAGTAAATTCAAAAAAAGTGATGTGAGTAGTTTTACTAGCAGAAAACTCATTACCTGGCAAAGTTGTACTATCTTCAGCTCAATCACATAAACAGCCACTTCTTACTTACTCTTAAAAGAAAGTCCGTAATGTTTGATGAAACAATCAGGTTCCTTTTTTAGAAAACAGAAAGTTCAGGCAACAGCTGGATTATATGAAGCATGTCTTAATTTATTTACCACTTTTTACTGCTAATTGGGGAGTACTGCAAAAGGTGAATACTGTTACTTGTCTGCACAGTTTCATATAAATTGCAACCATGAATATGTGATCAGTTGTCATATGGAAAAATAAACCCTGCTGTCCCTGCATCACTGATGATGGAAAGATGTTTACAACATTCATTATTTCATTTTTAAAGGTCTTTAGAATGTTACTGAAGGTTGCTGTCTAGAGGAGATAGTTTATTCTATCATTTAAGGTGAAGGGTCTATAAAATACACTAAAAGTTGCTTCCTAAAATGTAACTATACATGTGTAACAGTATAATATGTTATTGTGCACTATGTTTGTGCATAGTGTGGTGTCTTACAGAGTAAACCTTGCCTGCAAGCATGCTAAGGGAGAGCAGATCTGTAACTGTGTTTCCATATGAAAGGTCCATTCAGGGGAAAAAATGTCTGCATCAGAGCAAATGGCAGTTTAGGTGATAAATTTGTATTAGCTCAATTTACTGATACCTCTGCTCTGTTCTCACTTGTGTCAGACTTTCTCTTTAGCTTCGCTGTCATTTGACCTAGTCTTTGCCATTACTGGTTTCTGGGGCAATACAAAATTAGTATTTCTACCTTGTAAAACTACAGTATTTTGAGCAGAAAAGAGATCTTGTAAACTGGTTCTCCCTACTAAGTCTCTAAATGTAGGCTTTTCTTTTTCCTTGATTAATTTGTATGTTTTGTTTTGTTTCTCTTTAAATACTGTCATTTTGTGTAAGTTTAAAATCTGGTTTGGATTTACAAGCATGTAATGTCTTTCATAGCCTTCAAAGAATTTGAATTGTGTTCTGTGGCTTGCTGCTGCAGAAGGACAAAATCACAACATCTCTATTCTTTGAATAGCACCATTATCACTCTGTGTTAATGAAATGATTTCAGTATTACAACAAATGAGTTTTTGAAATCCATTCAGTATTAAAGGGAATTGGATTGTAATTAGAGCATATTTCAAAAAGAATAAAAGGATGCATGGTATGTGCTTAGCTCTTAAAGCACCTAATCCTATATTAATTGTGCTTTGGGCACATCTGCCCTCATGTGAAGGGGACTTTGACAGTGAAGACAAAAATGTTTTAATGCTTTTAAGGCCAAACAGCTCCTCCAGCAGGACGGCATTGCAAGAGGAACACTGTTGGAGAGCACAGGGCTGCTCTCCCTTCCCTTCCCGGTCCTGTCCCTCACACACACAAAAGCAAACAATGTTGTGTTGTAATGTTCTTTATAGGTTGTTGAGGACTCAGCCTAATGTTACCGCGTTATCTTCTTGCTGCTGGGATTGAGTCTGTGTTAATTTTTTTCCATGTTTGGGCAGGAGAAGATCATAGAGGTATTTAGGTACCACAGTCTGAAATTGAATGGTCTTATGTTTTCTCTGTGTCTGTTGTGCTACAGACAAGAAAACATGAGACTATCCATTCCAGCACGGACCATGATGCTAGCAGAAACTGCCTGGCTTGACGTAATCAGAGAGCTCTGCTGGCTTGTCTGGAGAGGAGGGTGCACAGTACGGTCAGATGCAATTCAGGCTTCACACATACGTAGGGATATTTAGTTCAGCTTTCGGCAGAGGGTATCAGTGAGGTGATAAAAATGAGAGAGCCTCTGCTGAAATTATTTTGAAGAAGAGCTTTGCCCTGTCTGTCAAGCTCCTTCCCTGTGAAAGGTTGGTTGGACTTCGCTTTTCCTGAATCTACATGCCATAGACGGAAGGCAGCAGGGTTGAAAATAAGGAAATGCAGCAAGAAGTGGTTTTCCCAACTCCACTTCGCAGAGTTTGGCCAGCTTCAGCATTTAACTGTTACCATCCTGTTCATTCTATGGTCAGATGAACTACCTTTTGCCAACAACAATTTGCCTTTCTATGTTGAGTTGTTAAGGAAAGCAATTTGCCATTTGAAGTTACCGAGATGCACTCAAGCCCCTCTTCTCTGCTGCAGAGTTGCTTAACGGGCGTTGTGGAAATCGCGTGATGCTCTGCAGGACTGCTGAGCTGTGGATGTGGGTGGATTTGAGTGCTCAGCTGAGCAGAAGTGGGCAGAGAGCCTCGTCGGCGAGCTGGGGATTTGCACCAACACAGCTGTACTCAAGCAAGACTTGCTTTCCTCCCTGTCTTGTGGTAGTTTTGAATATATTATTAATTACCACCTTTCTTTCTTTGCAGCCTGTTCCAGCACTTCTGCTATGCTCGAGGTGGCATGCGCCACACTTCCTACACTTGCATCTGTGGCAGGTAAGTTGATGGTTTATACTGAACTGTTGCAGTCTTTGTGGTCGGTTTCCCACTGGATATTTGTAAAATTGTTCCTTTTAGGCAAATGATGTGTTTGCAAGTGCCCCAGAGTGAGGTTTGAACTCTGGAAAAGCCAAAGAAAGGTGGCTAGTGCTGTGTCTTAAAGAAATAACTCGGTTACAGATTCTGCTACGCTCAAGAGATTCCCCAGTGATTTCTGCTACTGCCAAGATCATGTTTATGCTCACATCCGTGCTGCAATTGGCTTTTTTATTAAATAGGATTATGGAGAAGGGCTTCAGAGCTATTCTCTTGCTCAGAAATACTCTCCTTGAAATACACATTAAATATTTCATATCATTCTCAAAATTCTTTGCCTCAAAGGTTAGGATGTGATTAAACTAATCTTTTTGGAATCTAGAAATTTTTTGCTCTGTCGTCTTCTTGCTGAACAGCTAGTGTTGAAGGTATTGTATTTGGGAAAGTATTATAAAAGTTCTCCCTGCAGGTGTAGAGATGCACATTTTTAATTTGCAGCATTTCAAGAGAATAGTGTAGGGTTCGTGTTGAAAGACAGCTGTGTGCTTTGTGCAGAGATTGATCTTATTTAGTCAGCGGAATTAATCTGGTCAGAGATATATGACAGATGAGTCATATATGTTGGTATATATGTTCCACTTGCAGATCTGCTGCTACTCACAAACATTTGCAACATGAACAAACATATGAAGTCACATACACTTATAAAAAATAATTTTTACGTTAATGACAATAATGTTATGTTGCTTTGGAGGTAATAAGGACAATTAGCATCTTTGCTTCTTTCTGCTGTTTACTTAATTGCTTATTTGTAAATGCAATTTTCCAATTTATATGCAAAATTGCAGTAGGAGCATGAACAGTTTTATGGCAAATTGTGCATCTGAATTGTCTGAAAAGTTCCTGTTTTAAGTACCGTCGTATAACTTGAGAATTAACATCCCATTGAAATGAGACTCCATCTCTATGGTATTGTCACAGGCTGTGATGGTAAAATCAAGTTGTCTCTGTGTATGGTTTTTCACAGCCGTATAGACTTCACATTCACTTACAGTAAATCAGAACCCATGCTGCAGGATCTGGTTTGGGTGCTAGGGAACATCAATGGCTTTGCTAAACCTATAGAAATATCTACCATATGCTTGTGTAGTGGGTCCTTGTGACCCTGTGGGGACAGACTAAACTCTCCACAGGACTGAAAAACCTAGGACTTGGGTTACGTGACTCGGGGAACCCAGGAGGAGGAAAGCCCCAACAGTAGTTCAGAAGAGGGTCATGACAGGAGCTTCCTGGGTGTCTCATCCCACCATGCTGGAGGGGCTTAGCAGGGCGTGGGAGCGGTGTTTGAGCTGCCTCTGAACCATTGGAGGATTTAATACATGGAGAAGGGCTGCCCTTGAAATGCAAGATCCTAACAATATCGTGACTCGCTGTTGTAGTTGGGAGCTGGCATTGTAACCTACCACTACAATTAAAAGTGCAGACAAACTTGATTGAAAAAAAAAAAAATTGCGTAAGATAGAATACAAAGGCCTTTGTCTGTAAATTTCTATATTCTGACTATGAATGAGGAAGTAAGAAGGAATAATAGTAACAGTTTTAAGCTAGGTCCTAATAAAATGAGTGTAAATAGATCTATTTGATGAATTCAATTAACATAATAATGGCAAAAATACTAGGCATTTTTATTACCATGCGAATTTCATGCCTTGTAAATATTACACTTAACTACATTTATGATTAAAAATAGCTTTTCCAATTCGGAGTTTTGAATAGTTATGTTTTATTCTATTCATGCTGAGTTTTGTTGTTTTCCTGACACTTACAACAGTGATATTTTGACGGGATCTTTCCTTTTTAGATTACAGGCCTAATAGTAATTTCCATAGAAGGGAATCATGCCTTTAAATAAAAAACAAGTTTGTTATTCAGATTTTAGAAAAGATGCTAACTAAGCTGGAAATCAAGTGTAATCAATACTATATTTCAGTACAGAAATAAATCACTTGGCACACGTTGAGTGCATGCATTTGTTGCTGTCCCTGTCCAGTGTTACAGTCTTCAGGAGATGGTAAATTAATATTTGGTGTGACCAAATATACTTTAAGTATTCACTTGCATGTATTCACTCTCCAATCAGTTGAGAATAACAACACACATATATTAGTATTACAGGTTGTCACATAGCAGGGTTAGTCCTGTAGTTAGCGATGCTTTCAAACACTGTCAGCTTGTAAGTGGTTTGAAGCGCAGACGTCACGTAAGTGCAATTAAATGAGAATGGTAGTATTTGATAAACGTACTTGGATATATTTAGCACTAATCTACAAAGTGTTGACTTCCGAGTGGTGTTCAAATGCTAATGAATTATTCATTGCAGTGTCTTAGTGTACCAAGTAACCATTTTTACAAAGGGGAAAATGAAGGTTAAGTTACATGCACAGTGTATCCTGGTGACCCTACGATGGATGGCATCCGCTAGTAACCAGGCACAGTTTCTGACTGGAGTTAGGTGGAGGTGGAGGCATCAGTATCTCTGCAACCACCACAGAAGCCATGGTCAGCTGCTACTTGATACGGTGGAATCTTAGACTTAGGTTCAAATCTTTTTGACAGATGTCTCTCAGCAGATGACAGGTCTCAGGAGATACCAGTGATTAACAATAACATAGTGCAGTAAAATGCCTTCCTCTACCTGAGGTGCACCATAAGTAAAGCTGTTTGGATAAGATTAGGATACTTAGTGAATCTGTTTTTCTTTCTTTAGTTTCAATACAACTTTTTAAGATTTCATCTCTTAGATGAAGAAGTGGACAGAAGGCTGTTAGTGCTTCCTTCTGGATTGATTTTATTATTTAAATCATGATGGAAATAATTTGCTGTTTTAGTTAATGGTCTGCTGGTTTTTCTTTAGATGTTCTTAATGTAGAGCTAATAGCTGTACTTTGTGTAATGCTTGATGATCAGCTTAGTCCTGTTCTTAAAATATTGCTGACATTCATCCTCTTTCTCTTTCTTCTAATCATTTGTTTTCAGGGTGTTTTCTGATCTAAAATGTATTTTGGTGACTTTTTTTCCTTTCCTAGTAATCTGAATCTCTTCCTACTGTTTGCATTCTTAGCGGTGTTAATGTGCAGCTTTTCCGCCGCTTCATACAATTCCTTCTGTGACAAAGATGTCTTTGGCACCAGTTAGAGGCAAATTATTAAAGGAATAAAAATAGATACACAGAAATCTCTTGGAGAATTTTTCAGGTTGCCTGCCTGAAGGCAAACATCAGCATCCCCACGTGTGGTGGCTTTCAGAGGTGCTGACCTCCAGGAAGGCAGTGGAGCTGCCACTGATCCGCACCTCCCCACAGCGCTTCATTTTAAACCCTAACTTTGGCACTCTTATGCCAGACCTTTCAAGTGTTGCTCCTTGGAACGAAAAGAAATAGCTTCTGTAAGAAAGCTCATTTGCTTTGTCAGTGGCTGGGGTTTTGTTTAAATTGTTTTGAAGCCACCTTGAAAGTCTAACTGAATCATTATGAACAATTTCTGGCTAGCTGTAGCATTTACCTTGTGGGTACGCCACTTCTGTAGCATTGCTCCTAAAGCATCTTTCCTGCCTTCATCTCAGGACAGTGGTAAAGATGCTTGCTGTGAGGAAGATTGGACTTGCACCTCTTGGCAGGAGTGGGCTGGAGGTGTGTCCATATCGGTGTTTTAATTTGGGTCAGTAGTGCATTTCTGAAGCGAGATCTCCCACTTGTCCCCAGCTGCAGGGCTTTGCTCAGAGCCAGGGGCCAGTCCTGGAGTGCACATGCTGGATTTCTTTTGGGTGAAGAAACAGCTGGGAGAGCTTTCAGGAGCAGGTCTGCTGTGCCTCACTTGCTCATGGGTGTTCAGCCCAGGGGACCTACCCAGAGCCAGTCCCAAGTGAGCAGACCTCTGCACCCCAATCACTTCAAACAGACAAAAAACCTGAAATGCGTATGGTGTGCATATCTGGTCTTCAGCACCAACTGTGCTCTCCGTGGTACGATTCCATTTACGCAACAGAGCCAAGATGTGCGTGACAGATAAGGAGTCTCAAATGCCAAGAAAGATTGCGTGCTGCTTGACGCTTCACTAACGGTGCTGAAAAACAGATTTTTCATGCATCTTCTGTAACAGTTGGTGCTGAACCTTACAGAAATATTTTGTAAACTAAAACCTTTACATTAAAATGTGCAAAAGAAATCCCCCATCTTTGTACTTGCAATGTCTATTGTTGAAAGCATTTGTGCAGTGCTCATATTTGAATATATGACTTGTTTATGCAGCTGGTATGGTATATGGCACCAAGGGCACCAGCATATGATGATAAGTAAACAAGCTATCTGCAAATACATTAGCATGGACCCATGCCCTTAAGCTTCATGATAATTTTTTAAAAGTTGATATAAATATATGCATGTGCTATTTGCTTCTCCTGCTTTATCCCCATTTTTAGAGGGAGATAAGAAAATAGTATCTGCAGCTGAAATCCTGACAAACTGCCATGGAGTGCGTGTGTGTGTGAGTGTGTGTGTGCATGCCAGATGTTGGGGATTTTCAATTATTTTTGTGTTTTTCCTTAAACACCAAATATATGGGTTCACAAACAGTGTTGTGCATAGCACCAGGGCCATACCAGTTGCTTCCAAGTGCCGCCCCCCCCAAAATTGTAGCCCTCCACCTGGGAAACAGCTCTTCAGGCTGGAAATGATGCTGCCTCCTCTTGTCAGGCTGATAGTCCGATGCAGAGGTAGGAGCTGTCTCCGCTGCTGTCACCTGCACGTGAAAGGAGACAGCTGAGGCTGGAAACACAGCTCCCACCATACACATCACCTGGCACAGAAGGCCTTTTTCTTTTGATTGCAGTCCATTGCCCTATTCTAGATCTTTTTTTCAGACAGAGCAAACTGAGTTTGAAAGTGCCCTGGTGTGGAAAACTGGAATTGGGGCCGGAAGGAACTATTCCACCAGTGCCCAGGAGACAGGACATCTCAAAAGGAAGCTCACATCTGTCTTCATCTTGTGTGCAAGCTTTGTGGGGCTGTTTTTCGTTATCTGCACAACAGCGTAGGTTCCCAAGTCAGGCATCCAGGAAGTAAAAAGCAGCCAGCTAGTAGCCAGTTGTAAAACTGTGCTTAAGCCGTTGGACCAACATCACAAAAGAAATCTGTTGCAGCCTTAATTCTGTGGGGTTTTTAAACTCTTGATTTAACAACTTTAATTTTTCCCTTTGGTGTGCATGTAATTTTAAGGAATATACTTTGTATCAGAAAATCATTCCCATGATTCTGAAACATTGTCCTTCACTGCCTTATTACATAGTGATTCTTATATGCTAAAAATACTTAATAAAAACTTATTGCTTTCAAAATATTAACATGATCAGCCTTTTAGTTTGAGAGCCTTCTGAAACTTAAGGTGGCATCTACTTTCTCCTCCATAATCATTGCTTATGGAATTATTATATCTGAATGACCAATGATCTATTAAATATCTAATTGATCACAAGTGCTTAATGTATCTTGAAGGTAATCTCTTTTTGGATACAGTGCATGTTTACTACTTTTGTAATTGCACGTATCAGAAACCTAATATGAAAAGTATGTCAGATGGCACATTTACTCCAGATACAACAAAAGATCCATAGAAATTGAGCCTCAGATTCCTTTCACCTAAGATATGAAGCTGTTCTTTGAAAGAATAAAATTTGAGCAGAATGACCGGTACGGTTTCAATGAAAGGTGAGATACAGACTGGCAAGCCAGCTGGAGGGGTCAGAAAGATGCCGCAGTAACCCTGTCCCAACAAGCGTATTTTTGGATGCAATTCTTCTAGCTTTTTGAAGAGAAGAAGAGAGAGAGCATCTATCTGAAGAGAATAGTAAAAGAAAAATAGGTAGAGCTCGAGATGTTTAGCAATCTTTCAACTGCTGTTTGATAGACCTGGAGGAATATCAGTAGACAAGAGAGAACGCCAAGGCCAAATATAGGTTACCGAATGGATCGTGGAGCTTCAAAAGCACAGAACAAGAGTCCATCCTTCTCTGGATATGTTTTATTCCTGTGAATCAGCAGTTTAGTCTGAAAGGTTTCCAGGAATAAAAATCTTTTATTTTTAATAAGAGGTAAGAATAGAGTGACGGTTCTCATCCCTGTTATTGCTGCTGACATTGTACGCTGCAAATGCTCCCCGAGCAGTATGCAGTGTATCTACACCAGCAGAGATCATGCATAGCCATGCCAGAGGTGAACTGGAGCTGTTTACTTGGACAGATGAATTTTTCCTGTCCCAATGACTCCTAGAGCATTTCAAACATGTCAGATTTTACTCCAGTGGAGGTTAGGTTTTTTTATGCCTCAGAATGTTTAACCTCAAATAGGGAAACGTATCACTTCGTAATTAAAAAAAAATCCAGAAGGTAATAAATGGGTATAGGTTGAAAAATTACTCTTGTGTAGCCGCTTCCTTAACACTGTCATGGACGTGGGAAGTATTTATATGAACTGTGCCAAGTTCCTTCTGCAGAAAGGTCATATCTTGCAGCCAGAAAAGCAAAATGCCTGTTCCATAGCCATTTCTGCTGAGTGAGCTGCAGGGTATGCTATTACAGCCCACGCTGGGGCAGGGCCTATGGCAGTTCTCACCGACTGCAAAATTTCATGCTTAATATGTGAATAGACTGATGTTTACAATGTTCCTTCTCATGTTGTGTGTGTTAATGTTTCTTCTTCCATTAATTGTGCTGAATTTTCTCTTTGCCTATCAGTGGAGAGAACTCGTCTGTTTTGCACTACGGTCATGCTGGAGCCCCGAATGACAAGACTATTGAAGACGGAGACTTGTGGTAAGTAAAGGGTTAGAGTTCATTTGCTATTTTTGTTACACTGCTCCTGTTTCCATACATGTATTGTATGTACTCTTGGACTCAATTAGTAAAATGATGGCTGTATAATGATGAAAGTCTAAATCTTTAAAATAGCCTGTCATTTTGCATGCCAGACTAGTTTGGTTTCTTCCAAAGGTCCTGTATATCTGCATCTGCAGTTGAAAGGGAAAAGAGAGATTGTTTTCAAACACTTCTGTGCCAAAGACACTTAGAATTTAGTTTAAGAAAGGCTGTATTGTAAGTACAAGGGCAGTTGCAAAAATTGGCGTCTGAGTTTGCTCTTGAACCTCAGATCCAAACCTTAGCTCTGATGGTGGGGTGGAGGGTTGAGCGGGCGTTGGCTACTTCTAAAGAACTGCATCAAATTGCAATATGGATTAGCTCTTCCAAATGCTTACGTGCACCCAGACACCCCGGGCTGAAAGTAGAGTTTTGAATGTGTGAGGAGATCAAACTCATCTCAGTTCAGGTTAGGCCAGGGTGCTTCTCATTCTGTATTGTGCCAAAAATTTCTAAAAAGCTTCTGCTTAGAGTTTAGCAGTGCCATAATACAGTTGCAAATACCATAAATTTTTCTCTACTTGTATTACATGTCCACATGCTTTGCAATATCACTGCAGGTAAAAGCAGGGTGAATGAAAGCACCAAATACATTGCTATAAATTGAAAGACAAACCTAATTGTGTGGTGTGTAACATAGCAGAATATAGCTTTTGTACTTCACCTCCTAGGACTTTGGTCAAAAAGGGTGCTTTTATAAAAGTCCAGAACTAGTTTTGGAGGAGTTAATCACTGACATTTAGTGGAGGGTATGTATTAGATTACTTTTGTAGCACGTGCAAAAAGGGTGCAGGTATGTATTTTCACAGTTGAATGTAAAGGTGCGGAGGAAAGCAAATTAGCATTATCATAGATAAGCTCAAAAGCTATTATGGAAAACAAATTCAATCTCAGAAGTGAAAAAATATGCCTCATTGGCTAATGTTCTGGTCACATCTGCAGGTGCTGCAGAATGAACTTACCAAATTGCAGATAGGTAATTTCTTTTTAATACTGTAAAAACTTTTTTAAAAGCTTCTTGTACAATGCTTTATGTATTATCTTCATCTGTGGTGAATAGCTTGCTAAACCCATCAAACTAACGTTAATTTATTGCAGGACAATAGCTTTGACTTGCGATCACGTTGTATTTGAGTAGATAATATGCTGTGAGGTTTTTTTGATCAGGCAGGACACACCAGCATGATACTGTATTGGCTGTGGCATTCGATTAAGTTTTCAAAAAAAGTATGTAGCCTACAGGAAATCTTAGCATATGTTACTGAGAGAAGATATGCCACAATGCATTATAATGTCCTGTATTTAAAATTAAGGCCTTTAAATGGGGAAGAGAATAGTATTACTGGGAGACTGCAGGGTGAAGGGTGTATGTAGGACCCTCTTACTTACAGTCTCTGAGGGCAGTTTAGTGGATGGCTGAAGTCCTTCCTAAACCACAAGAGCACATACAAAGACTCTTCGCAAACTCAGATTTCCTGCTGTATTGGCAAAATCTTTAAAAAACTGTGTGGGTTTTATTAGCCTCAGATATCTGAATGTGAGAAAAGCATAATCTACCAAGTACATTGTTCACTTAAGCATTTCAAAACCACTGGACTGCAACCCCACATTGCAACCATCTCAACAAAGAGAACAAGGTTTAACCTAGTTTGAAACATCCTCTTGCTGAAACGGTCCAGTTACATCTTTGTCTTGATGCGATGAAGTTTGTCAGGTGTAGATTGGCTTCAGCAAATAAGTGCTCTGTGTGCATGATTACCCGCCTGAGCTTCAGTCTCTGCCCTTGCCTCTCCCACTGGCTGGTACTCATGTAGCAAACTTTGCTCCATGCGATTTTCTTAGTATTTTTCTCAAGTGAGAGTAGAGAAAGTATAAGAAAAAGTAATTTCATTTGTGTAAAGATGATTTAAAAATACACTCATTTTCCACAGTTAAAAACAGTATTTTGGAAAAAATGTTGAGCTAGCGTACTTTAGCAGCATACAAATTATGACAGGGCACTACCTGGGTGGTTTTACTGTATGCTTTTACAAATTTCTAAAGTGATTGTAGATGCGCATGTATGTGCATACAAAATAGGTTATTAAAATGACAGTATGCTGATTTGTATGTATATGTTAGTGTTCGTATATTTGGCTCTCAATTAAGCTTTTTAATAGCTACTGGGAGCCCTCTGTTGGATAATCTTAGGAAGCCCTGAACATAGGGAAAAAATGGCTTTACTGCTGATGACAAAGTAGTAGGAGTGTTTTAAGGGTTATTTCTGCTTCTGCCAGTATTTTGGTATAACTCTAGTTTAATGATTCCTGTACTTCTATGTAATAGAATCAGAAGATTGGGTACTTGGTATGATTTTTATTGAATTATTCAGTAGAATTTCATGTCTTTTTCTTAACGTTATTTAGTGGATATGAATAACATTCATGAGTTTTGCAGAAATGTGCTGCTCAGGTTTTTTTTATGTACAAAGCAGTGCAGTGCAGTGTCAGTAAATAAGTCAACAAAGCACCTGAATATTAGAAAAAATACATTTGGAAGACTAATGCCTTGCTTCTTGGAAACACTCAAGTGCATGCATTGTTTGCTCTTTTAAAAATGTAAGTTACAAGGATTTGGTGGTATCAACAGGAGATCATAGGCAAAAATACTCATGCTATTGCATTTGTAATTTTTTTTAAAGACTTATTCTGACTTCTCCTTCAAAAACTGGCAGGTTTAGAACAGCCTGGTTTTATGATGTTCGTTTTTGAAAATTAATCTACATCAAATGGGTTTATTGCTTCTGTAAGAAACTGGTATGGAATTACATCTCTGATACTGCATCGTAATCCACATCTTTACAGGTACAGCTTCTGCGCTAAAAGATCTCTGTGCAAGACAAGGACTATAAAGAGAATTTCTGATGCTTCTTGTTAATATGGACTGTGTTGCTAATCAGGGCTGTCATTTTCAGTCTATTAAATATTAAAACCAAAATAGCTAACTAACACAAAGCATTATGATTGACATGGAAATCAGTATTTTTAGGGAAGTTTAGGTATTCAGTAGATACATGCACTTAACTGATATTGATATTAAAAGTTAAATATTGCAGTAACAGCAAATCAGTGTTTTATATAAATAATTCATGTACTGTAACATTTTTGAGGTGAACACTTAAATTGTATGATCAATACGGTCTAAACCAAACACTTTTCCTAAACAAGTGTCTACTGTCTCCATGGTCAGAAAGGTCATGCAGATAAATGCGTAGGCTGAGCACCCTTGTCAATCGCAATTCTAGGCACTCGACCCTTTCACTTGGTTATTACCTTTAAATAAAATCTTCTACTCAGTGTTGCAAATCATAGCCTGCACTGATGACGTATGGCCAGGCTAATGTACAAATACTGATGATCTTCTGTTGTCATAAACCTGTGACAGCTTGGATTGAAACTGAGCCCTAGACTGAGGTTTACTGCATCGTATCAAGGCGTTGCATTACTCGTTGTGTGCCAAGACACCTGCTGTTTCTGTAGTGAGTATGTAACTACATTTTGTAAGACGGAAAGTGGAGTTATAAGCAAAAGTGCTTGTTGTAGTTTGCAGTCTCCTGCTTTGTACATGAGAGGCCTCCATCAAGGCCAGAGCCAGAAAGTAACCAAACCAAATTTCACAGGGGTTTTTGAGCCACCCTCCCAACTGCCCCAGTCCAGTTTGGATAACCAAAGGTCTTACAGAATTTGGTGGGGAGTAGAATGAAATTAAAAGTTGCGACTCAAGAAGAAAAAAATCCCCAAACCAAATAAATTCAGGGAACAGAGATCTGACTCCCTCCTAGGCATAAATCAAGAGCAAATGAGCACTGGGGCTCCTGTCCATCAAATGGCATCCCCTGCATTACTCGTTCTTCCTGGGCAAGTGTCTCATGATCTCTCCTTTTGCAGCTATTTTGCTTTTGTTTGCACTGGGGAAAGAGATTGGTTCAGTGGATAGAGAGCCCTCATGGGAGATGGAAACCTCTGGTTTCAGCTCTCCTCAAATTGATCTCTGACTTTGGCTGGAAGTTATGACTTGACCCTGGGAAATAGCATCCGTGAAAAGTTCAGTCAAAGCCAGTGCGTTTCTGCAAAAAGAGTTGGTCTCAACAAATAAGCATCTGCCTTCTGAAAAATGAAAGCGTCTGCTTTCTTAAAAATTAAGGAAGCAAATCACCTTGGCTCCTTCCTTCTGTCTTCTGCCCCTGCCCTACCAGTGCTGCAACGTGGAGCCGCACCATGGCTGTTGGGGAAGGAGAAAACTGGCCATCAAAATAGATAGATCGCAGCAAAGGAAGCCTATGGCAAGGCAAACGTCTCTTCTCACCTTTGTGGTTCAGTGGTTTGTTGTAGGAACCATTGGAGGTGCTGAACCTGAAGTGTGTACGTTACATTTTGATTTTGAGAGGGTATTCAGGAAAATGATAGTTTATTGCATTCTATTTGCTGCCTAGCAGTTCATGCAGCCTGCCTTTGTGGATTCCTGGCATTGCCATGCACCAAAGGCACGTCGGGAGTTGATTGGTTTATTGCAGTTGATCAGCAGGGTCCCTGCAATGTTTGACAAATAGAAAATGATTCTATGATCTTAAAATAAAGATTGATTCTTCATGATGAGGCTCACACTTAAATAATAGAAATGTGAGAAAATAAGCCTGACCCCAGATGTCACTGAAATAGATACAGCTATTACCTGAGATAGTTTTCTGCAGGTGTCACGAGTTGCAGGTCTTGGTCTTTTTATGGCATCTGACAGATGTGTCTCAGTGAAAGTTCAGCACTTAGCGAGCAACTTTTATTGGCAGGTTCACTTGACCTTCAAGCACTTGATGACATTTTTGGAGGTTAGTTGGTCCATTCTGGCTTTACAAAATACTGAAA